TGCTTCCGATGCTGCTCGCTTGTTTCACCAGCCAACGGATCGACATGCACTCGCCTACAATCGAGCGTTAAGTGGCTGAAAAGCCATAAAAGGAATGGGCTCCAGAAACCAGGTGGCAGCGATGTTCTTGTCGGCCGCATGACATCTCCACAAGCACTGAATCAGCGTGGCAGCAGCAGGAATCTGACGATTGAAGTGTTTCTGGCGTTGCTTTTGTTGCACCTTCAGCGCGAATCCCGAGCCGAGGATACCCTGAACGGTGATTTAATTAGAAGGAGATCTAACTAGTAGTTTGAATTTGAATGCAGAGATGTATGGAAGCTGAAGCTCACCGCCGGTAAAGCGAAAAAGCTGATAGCAAAGATCGAAAAGCAAGAAGCGACGATCCGGCCTAGCCACGTCTGTGGGACCACATCGCCATAGCCTATGGTGGTCATTGTGATCTGCAAGAGTAACTCAGTAGTGCTCTTCAAAAAGTTCCTTAGAAAACAAGAAGTACTCATGTTTGAAGACAATGGAGAGGTCAAACAAGATTTTTGATGCTCTAATGGTCACGTTTGACAGGTGGTTCTTCGTTGAAGAAACAATCCAGGCAGGTCGAGGGAAGATTCCCTCTGATCTCGATAGACCCCTAAAGGACAATCACGAATCTGGCACTCCCATGGAATTCGCTTTAGAAGCCCATAGGGCTTTACAGAGACCGTTTTAACTGCTTTGATTTTCACCATCCGCAACAGGCTGTCGTCTGGCTCCTTCTCATCTGTAGTGCTCCCGCGCCTCATACTTTTCTCTCTGTGCTCATTCTCTCATTGCCGTAGCACATCCGCGTTACGAAGGTAAGTAATCCGGTAACTCAAAAGCTTCAGTTTGTAGATAGACCCCTAGAGGACAATCACAGATGTGGCATTCCCGTGCACGGAAATCCACCCGACAAGAGCGCTAGGGCCTTGCAAAGTAAGCTGCAGCAGCTGCATTTTTTTCATCAGGCTGTTGTCTGGCGCTCTCTCGTCTCATATACTCTCCTCTCCGCGCTCAGTCTCTCATCCCTTAGCACAGCCTATTACGAAGGTGGGAGACAACGACTTACCACTCCCCACCACAAGGCGTCCGCATAGCTGGTAAAAGCTTGCCGTCCATCTGGTGCGACATGGTCCTTTTCGGCCAGGTAGACAAAATATGACGAGAAAATCAGTCCAAGGAAGCCGATGTACAGAGTGGTGATTAGCTCTTGGCGGTGGATGAACACCACAGAGCCTAACAATCTCCTAAATTATTGGTTTTTCTGAAGTTGTTGTAGTAGTAACTGTTTTACAATGCATCATAAATATTATAAATATTCTTAGAAAACTTAAAGAGTATTAGTGATAAGGCTGAAGGGTAATTCTTCAGTTGAAAACGTCCATTGAATGAAAACGTACTCAGGAGTACATCAAAACACGCTCCGCAAATAGTTCATAGAAAAAGCAGGTGAATTAGGTAGCCATGTCCGCAATTGCAGGCAGAGGTAGGCGTACGTAAATGGGCTCACGTTGGTAACTTAAAGGCAGGTGACACGAAAAATTGCTTTGTATTGGGAGTGAAAATAGAGCTACCAAGAGGCACCAGTGAGGAAGATATTAAAGAAATCTTCCACGGAAAAAGCTCCGCCTCCATTACCACAGAAAAACGACACCCTTTAGGCCCCTAGCCTCATGAGCATAGTCGTATAA